ATAAGATAAAATCATTCTCATATGTCCACAGATTAAAAAAATTGTTATAAATTCTAACTGATTCTAAGTGGTGTCTCTATTAACAAATACTGGTGTTAGATTGATATACAAAAATGGCGGAAACCATTCGAGTATCGTGCGATCAATTTCTCGCGCTTCAGCAAACGCGTGTATCCGATCGTAATGCGTCCGATACATTAAAGCGATTACTATTGCCACGGGGGGGCAACAGCGTCGATACGCGATAACGTTGTATCGCGCCATAAGATCCGAATACGCGTTGCACTGACATAAATTAATGCGGTGTTATCGCGAAGAAATACCAAGAATAGGAGAACCGATCGTGCTTTACGGATCTCGTGTAATACCGCGTGTAGAGAAACCAGCTGGAATAACGTTCTCGCATATTTGAGGCAACTTCGGAGGGCGGTTTGCGCATTCGAAATATTGCATACCATATTTCTCAGTCTTTACGTAGCTCTGCGAAACCGTTTGAAAAGATGGCGCCATGCATATTTTATTATATAAAACACGTTTATGATCGGCGTAAATCGTCACGAGGCTTCGCATGTACATTTCCGGTCAAATGTTTGCAGTTTAAAAATAAATAATGACATTTCTGTGAATGTTGAGTTGTCAACAGGATGTATTGGTTATACAGTCAACCCCAAAAGTTTAGGTTAGGTTTCTTAGAAAAACGCATTTCCTATAATTAAAAAGAAATCAGACGTTGGAAGAACAATAATATTGGATGAAAAAAAATTTACTTGTTAACGTTCAATCGGTTTCTAAACAATAAAAATTGATAGAATTTGTTGTAATGTTTATATAAGTACTTTCCTATCACAANTATATTATTTCGTCCAAAAAATAGAGGATGTCTCCATATTTTTAAACAGGAATGTACTAAAAGCTAATTAGTATAATATGATTGCACTTTGGAATGTATTCAATTCTATTCATGAGATTTTCATTTACACAATTCCACTGGTTAGTAAAACGTTACGTGAATAAAATCATTTTGTATTTAATAGATTTTCTGGTTACGAAACGCAATTGATGAAAAGGGTGTCTGATCCGTCGAGCAGTCTACGTTCCTCTGCTACTGACGTTTTTGTAATTCATTCCAGTTTCAGAGCTGAACTCAACGATTTAACGATACACACAATTGTATGTATATGTATCCGATGGAATTCCGTTTCAATCAGTTAATAAATTCGAATAAACTTGGTATACGCGACCTCTTTAATCAACCCCCTCCGTACGTTTGCCTCGCGTGCTTCTAGAGATCGCGTGGTGCTACTTCCGTCGAAACGCGCACGATACTGGAAACTGTCTCGGGGATCAATGTTCCGCGAGCGTGCACTAATAAGTTTCGACTCGTTATCCACATACGTTTAACTAAAACGAGTTTTAATTAAGAATATCGATAAGCAATTAGCGAGAGGACGTCCAGAACCATGAAATTTAAATCACGAGAATATTACAATTGAATAAAAAATGTTCAAATCGAAATTCGATCTCTCATTACCGATTGATTGATTATAAAAATTGAATTCTGTACTAGATTGGTTCTGAGCGTCGACGCGCGGCGCGGAAGCGTAAAAACGTGGACTCACCCTTTGAAACTGCCGGACAAAGGTCGTGCGTGAAGACGGCAGTGCATAAAGACGATGCGGGAAGGAAGAAGACACCGAAAACATCCACGAGGACATACATGGGGGTGTGTCAGGCAGGGCATCGAGCAGCGATTTTCAATACCGCCGGCGGTCGATTAGTGTCGCACAGGCATCGAGAGACGTTCAGACAGGACAAATCGACCATCAACGTGGACTTCCGTTTAATCGTGTTTCAGGAATGCCACGGGACGACGGATCGGCGGTGTGACGTTGATTTCTTTTCTCTTTTATTTTTTTTTTTATTTTTACCCGCGATACGAAACGTTTCATCGCTGTTTTTTTTTTCTCTAATTGTTTTTCGCCCTGTCCGTCTCTTGTCACCGTGGCATTCGGACCCCCTCTCCCCGGATCGCTCGACGTTACTGCGCTCCCACCGTGGAAATTCGCGGTCCATCGGATGGATTCTCGTGCGAGGTTCGACGAACGGATTGACGTGTGAAGTGTTCTCCGAGGGGAGGTCGAGGGTCATTGACGTAATTAGGACGTTTTAGAGAAACCATCTTTTTCCATATTCTTTACATTACACTTTGATATTTACGATATAATATTAATTTATTAACGAACTAAG